TTCTTCCTTGCTTATCTCCTCAATAGCCAATACTATTAGTCATAGGCAGAGAGAGAAGGATTGACCAAAATAGCATCTAAGAGAGAAGGTACAGGTTTTTCTGAGGTCTTTCTCCCTTTGCCGATTGCTCATGCCACTTTCTCATCTTGCTGTGCCAGAGATGTGCGGATTCCTAGGAAAATGGACCCAAAAATTGCCGTCTCATTCTTAGATACAGCTGCATACTTCTGTATATTCAGGAACAGAAATTTTACTGTTGAAAGAATCCTCTTGAAGGCATCAGGACATCTCAGCCTGAAATACAGCATTAAAGGTCTGGGAAGGGGAAGAGAGAAGGAGGATCGGGGCTGTTGATTAAAGTCTCCTCAGCTATGAACAACCGGTTCTCTTATTTCTGCCCATGAGTCATGAAAACAGTATCAACAGGCAGAGACTGATTTCTGTACCTCATTAGTGACATTAATATCTTGGGCATCCTCTGGGTATTCTCGTTCTGATTCATGTAAAAGTAAGGAAATGCCTGCCAGTTGACAGAGATCATACTTACATAAAATAACTTTACCTGATCTTTCCAAATATTATATGGAAAATTATCATTACTCACCCCGCCAAAACAATAGCCTGATGTGAAACTTGACTACTGTTGCTCAGAATTAAGCAGCTTGTGGGTGAAAGTAATTGCTCGGAATAATTTCAGACACTGGTATTTAAAGATCAGATTCAAAATATCTACAAAGCACTTTACAGTCACACCTAAATCTTCCCATCGTCAACTCCAGTCATAAAACTGGATACACACAACATTCTGCAACGTCGTGATTTTCTGAAGACAGAGTTTTCCCATTTGAAAGAGACTGTCTTCGCAGCTGAGAACCATTTAAATATCTTGTGTTGACTTTCTTTTCAGCAGCAATGGAAATTCTGCATCTCAGAATAGTTAAAAGCACCAGCATGCATATTACACGAAAACTCCCCAAAGTACTGTCATTTTCTTCCAGAATGGAAAAAAGCTTTCTGGCATTTTTCATTCCATCCTACAGAATGCGAGATTTGCTGCTTTATTTTATTTGAAAATATTTGCTGATTTATTTTATTTGAAAATAAAAGGAAAAACACTTTTCTAAGACGATCCAGAAAAAGTCTTTCTCCTACAAGAAAGGACACAAACAACTACAAGATTCTTCTCGCTAGCTAGTTACAATGTACAATGCTTAAGCAGTGCAGTTTTATTTAGGTCTCTGCCTCATGCATGGGTTCATGCCCATCTCTCAGCCACCAGTGACTGACACTCAGATCACCTAATAGCAATATATCAGGGCACAAACCCCACCATTTATGAAGAGATAAATGTGCTCCCTCATCATTCTCGATAAAGACTGAGCAATGGTAGAAATTACAGACTCCCCCATTCCTATCAGTTGCACAAGACTTGCTGGAGGTGCATTTGTGGAAAAATGAAGGGAAACTTGTGCTGCATTGGCCAAAATCAAGACTCAAGCCAACATAAGACTTCCCTAAAAAATGCTAATCGTGTTCTTATTTATTACCCTTAAAAGCATTAAACCAAATATTAATGATGTTTCTCATCATCTCCCCCAACTCCTTCACACAGGCATAAAGAAGTGCCATTTCCATACTACATTGCTTTATTTCTGAGCCAATAACTATTATTTTGTTAATAACAAATTCTGTCCAAATACGGCACTCAACTCATCTAGGCAATAAGACTGACTTTAAATATGCCAATCTAAATATATATTTACACAAGCCTAAGTGACATTTACTTGAATGCTGTAAATTATTGTATATCTTAAGTAAACATATTTATACAGCTTCTTTACAACAAATTTCTAATACTATTGAAAAAAAATCAAACCTGACCATGCAGACATTTCTATGTCAATAACATTAAGATCATGAAAACAGCAAGAGGTAAGACTTAATATAAGCCAAATAGCAAGAGATAAGACTTAATATAAGCCCACTGTGCTCATTTGTGTTTGCTCATTTCATCAAAGCATGCACTGAAGGACAGAATATATCATCACATATTGTGGGGGTTGGTCTCTTCTGCCAAGTAACTAGTGATAGGATGAGAGGAAATGGCCTCAGGTTGCGCCAAGGGAGGTTTAGACTGGACATTAGGAAAAACTTCTTCACTGAAAGAGGGGTCAGGCCTTGGAACAGGCTGCCCAGGGAAGTGGTGGAGTCACCATCCCTGGAAGTATTTAAAAGACGTGTAGATGAGGCGCTTAGGGACATGGTTTAGTGGGCATGGTGGTGTTGGGTTGACGGTTGGACTTGATGATCTTAGAGGTCTTTTCCAACCTTAATGATTCTATGATCATCTCCATAGCTGCCTTTCTGGGTACTGTTAATTGATACAAAGCAATAAACCCAGCAACAATCAATAGTATTTTGGAACCAAAAAAGCTTTTTAGTATATTTATAGTAACACAAAAACTCTGGAGGTTGGCAAACCCTTTCATTGCACAGATAGTACACCGTTGTTGGTGCAATTACACAGAAACCACCATTTCCCAAGTTGATCTGGTCACTGAGTTTTTGCTGTGTACTGAAAAGAAGCTGGATACATTACAGCCCCAAAAATGTATTTGATATTTACCAATAACCAGAGAAGGTTAAATGGCAAATATTAAAAGTAATTGTTTTTAAGTCAAAAGGAACAGAAGATCTGTGCTGTTGAGAATCATTTCCACTGGTTTGATTGTTTTAGAGAGCTTGGTTTTCCTTTGCATTCTATTTACACTTTGCAGGCTTTTAATTAAAGAGAGGGGCTAGGATAAGAACCAAAATAGCCATTTTTAAATACTAAAATAGCCATTTTTATACTAACAAAATACAGATTTCAGTTATTTATTCTAGTAACTTATTTTTTCACAGAAAATAGATAAGCAGAAATAATTATCTCCTAAAGCAATGACTTACTGTTCTCAATACTAATTTTTCAAATTAGCTGTTATTTTGTGCAAATTGCCTTAACACAGTCAGCCGACTGTTTGATAAAAAGTAATCAGTGTGGCTAATGACTGGTTTTATAAACTCTTTACTATGAAGAGAAAATCCGTACTAAGTAGAACAAAAATTTTAAAGACTTCCAAGCATGCCTCCTTATAGGGACAACATCAACATAATATTTACCTTGAACTTATTGCTACAGCCTTCTCTGCAGTAGGAATGTAACATCACCTTTATTTCCAGGTGAAAGTCATTCATCACTCAAAGCTCATATGGAGAGTCCAGTCTAATGGCCAGCACTGGGGCGGGGGGTAAAATCCCATGCAGTAACTACCAGACCATCCCTGCAGGACTTCACACTCAAAGATCGCAGTGGAAATTCAGCATTTATGGCTATGCCGATTAATGGCATCATCTTTTCTTCCAAGTAAGAGTCACATGGCTGCCCTCTTGGTCCACTGAATAGCTTGTGTTGCCACACATGTTACTTGCCTACTGTGTAATGGCTGTCTGCACGCTGAGCAAAGTGATCCTCTCTTCTGTGTATACTAAATACCCACTTTTTCTCAAAGTATGTAGTGATTTCTATCTAGGTATTATTAAAAGTAGAGTAGATATTTTCACTCAAGATACAAATAGCGTTGGCAATGACAGAAAAGCATGATCATTATGGGAAGATGATGGATAATGGACCAAGTTTTTCTTCCTGTATTTGGAATACTATTTCTATTAGCTTGTCTAAAAAAAAGAGTCCCTCTTATTTCTAACTCGACCTATTCTGTGAAGCGTGAAAACAGATAGTCACCTCTTTTGTGCAGATCGTGTCCTGAACAGTCTATTTCAGAGCCTAACTCCCTTCAGATTTCTAATCTCAACAATCTCATTCAATTACAAAACAAATAAGCTAATGGCTTACAGAAGTTACATCTCACAGAAAGAGAGTTCAGGAAACGCATGCATTTCTTTTCGGCACAAACAAATTATATCCTGCTGGATTCCTCCTCTTATTTGGACATGAGGTAAAACTGTTGACAGTTCCAGTTAAAAATCTTTCTTTTTGATAATAATTAAAAAAGAAAAAAAAAAAATCAGTAATACACAGTCACTTTTCAGAATAAAAAATAAAGATTATTTGAGAAAAGTTAGCCTTACCCACAAATTTCCATCATTTTTTTGTACAGCCTCATATCTGATCACCATTTGCACCACACTGTAATGAAGTGGCTGGATGCACCAGGCTTAAAGATCACCTCTGGCGCTGCACAGCGTACAGGAAAAGCCTCTCCTGTGCCTCTGTGACACCCCTTTTCCTTCCTCCTCTGCAAGTGGTATAAATGGAGGGACAGTCTCTTTCTAAGGAACTCCTACCTTCCATCAGTCCTCATTGCCAGGACTACTTCATTCTTATTTTAGCTGACTCTGTAACACAACCTTGGGACGCAAGATGCCAAAAGCTATCTTCTCTCTATTACCAATCACACTGCTAAGAATCCAAATTAAGCTGTGTTTAGAATTCACATACTAGCAAAGAGATTGGTTGTAAACTAGCAGCTCCACTATCTAACAATTTAGCTATATATCAAGTAATTTAGCACAGAGTAATTCAAAAGGTCTTGCATATCTCTGCAAAATATTTCTTCAAATAAAAATGCAATGCAGTAAACCGGAATAAAGCATTAGTTGCATCTCTCCCTTCACCAAATTTGTTTTATTCCTTTCTTGTCTTTTTATATAGAGATGAAGGATTAGTAAAAAAAATGGTAAAAATAGTTTGTTTAAAAGATGGCATTAATATACTCATGTTCAATTAATAAGCACCACCATTCATTGCATTAAGAATCAATGCTATAAATACGCCATTCATATCTTACATTTCTGTTGGTCTGGACCCCCTCATTTAATGTCATTTCTTAAAGCCGTATTCTCTACAGAAAGGTCACAAAACTTTGTTATTTCAGGTCCACAGAAAGTTTTGCAATTCAGAGACTTAAAGAACATTTCTTTTATATTCCTTCACATACCATCAAGACCATTATGATGGCTGTAGTTTCTTTTTCCCAAAATACTTAGTGAAGAGTGATTGGAGGGTGCAAGCAGTCGTTTTGCACTTGGACTTTGAAGGCTTGGTGTTGACCTGATTACATTGGGTTTCACGGCAGGATGAATCTCTGTTTGAGACAAAAGAGAGAGAGAGAGATCGTACATACTTGATCTAAAAAAAGAATAAATAAAAATAGTCTCTTCAACATTAAATTTACATTTAAAGTTCTAGTGAAAGGAAAAAAAGTTTCTTCACCATGAGTGTGTTTACAAGACCTTGAATAACAATTCAAACACGAGTCTTCATACCTCCAGCTCTTCCAAATAAGAAAAATCTATTTCACTTTTGCCTGAGTTTAATACTATGGTGTAGATGTGTAAGGATTTCAGAAACTGAAGAGATAATACAAATCAGTCTATAACAGGTCTGTGTTTACATTTCCCTACCATTTTGAGGTTTGTATTGGAGCTACACACCTACACAGCTTTTTAAGCAAGCAAATAAAAGCATTTTACTATAATGAAATCCCCTCAATACCTCAAGCTGTTCAATATTCTCTGCCACAGTAACAAGTTTCAAGAGATCTTCCCAAACACACGTCACCGGGTGCAAGAAGTCAGGGAGCCAGCTAGCAGGGCTCTGAAGCTAAAACTACCCCAAAACTGCAGCAGGAACACAAAAATCGTTCAGAGTGCACAGGGCTCCCCAGGTATTGCCAGCCTCCCGTACAGAGTCGTCATTGGGGAGTTTCAAACATCCCAGAGGATCTAACATGGTTCACGGAGTAGGGTTATTTTGGAGAAGGAGGAAGACAGGTGGGTAAGAGGCAGTGAAACGCATCTGGCCAGCACACTTCAGGGTGGCAGCTGCTGTGTTTGCCAAAAGCTGATACAGTTGTATGGAAATTTCTTGGTTACCTGCCAGGTACAAGTGGCAAAGGGAAGCCTCAGTAGAGCCTGCTTGTCCTTCACCAGGAATTTGCTGAACCAATTAACTTATTCCCATCACACGTTTGGGTTCAAAAAGCCACCACCGTGTACATCCTCGGACAGACCCAAATTTGCGAGGGAAGTCAGAGCACCCGAGGGCAGGTCCCCATCCCTCTGACACAGCCACAGGGCACCAGCTGCCGGCACCACGCAGGCTGCGAGGCGCTTGCAGCCCCATTACGGCCGGCCACCCCATCTCCCCACGGAGCAGAAGAGACCTCTGGGCTGAGAACGTGAGGGCAGAGGGTCTGGGAGACGGATCAGGAGAGTCAACCGTCCAAGGGGAGTAGGAAAGGATGAAATTCATTCCGCACTCCCTGAAGTGAAAGTGCTCCTTTCTGCTTTTTTTGATAAAATAAAGCGTAGAAGCTGGGAATATGCAAAATCTAAAGTGAGGCCAGGTATCCAAGGAGGAGGCCCTCCAGTCTCTGCTTATTCACAGCTATCATGCAGGAGAAACAGAAACCATTGCACAAAGTCAAAGTCCACTGCGATAGCAGATTCCTCCCCTTTCACAAATGCCAAGGAAATCTGATATCCAAGCGCTCGCCTGCCCGGCCTCGCGCTCTCGCTCCCGCCGGGAGCCTTCACACGCAGCCCGGGGGTACCCAGCCCACCCACCCCGACTGGCAACCGGCCGTGGCTGCAGGGGAGGCTGGGGGTGCGCTGCCGTAACAGTCGCGATAACCTTTAAGAGGCAGAAATAGAAAGGCAGGACAGCCAGTTTCGTCAGTATCCAAACAGGTGGAAAGGAGTAGGGTGGCCACAGTGAGACTTGGCCAGGCTGTACTGGGAACAGCATGCCAGGGGGAGACCACACCAACGATTTTCACATTTGAAAAGACTTTGCGTAACTGTTAACCACTGGTTTGGTCAGAACGTGCAACCATACCCTTAAAGCATGAAACACCCTCATCCAAGATGCTTCAAGAGGGTCAGATTAGAAAGAGTAGAGTAGGGTGTTAGAATAGCACGGAGCTAGGGCACAGGTAATTGCTTCAGGGCAGTCCTGTAGATTTGGCGGGGCGTGTGTGGAGGCCAGTTTCATGTCACCGATCTTTTCACCACTGACGTAGATGAGAGCTTTTTACTGCCATTCACTGCAGTACTCATCTGCTTTTCATATAAAAAAAGTTTAGGAACACCACGCTCCAGCAGATTTCATGGCATGGCCCATTTTTCGTTCTGTAGAGAACAAGCGTCTGTTTTGTGTTTTTACCAAAAAGGGAACAGTCTCGTGCTTAATTTTATGAACACTACTGACTGCTAAAGCAAAACTTTCGACTGAGGTAGAAAGGTTTGCACTATTTGCTGAAGATGATTGGAGTTTGGATTCTAAAATGCTCATTTGGCAATCTTCTCCAGTTTTCTGAAGGAAATGATTAATTTTCAGGGCTACCACCACTAAAATATTATCTTATTTGCCAAAGAGCTCCAGCAGCATCCACAATAATCCCAGCAGCTGGATCAACATACGAGAACTTGTAAACCGCTTCTGTCTACAGTGTATAGAAGATACAATTTTATATTTTCAGGATGAGCAAACAGTTGAAGAAGGAAGCATTTCCTTCCTTCGACTTTTCTTCAGTCCAGAGGTCACTAATCCTCCGTTAGTTTACCACAAAAGCTGTCCTTTCTCTTTCTGCAGTAGAGGAAGGTAGCAAGACTGAGGTCTCCTTTTAAGTTCTAGAAAGGAACTTAATTAAACAGCCGGGACCACTTCCCAATCGACCGAGTCCTTCTTGTGGGGTCTTTACACCGTACACTCACTCACCCTCTACATACAGACTTGCTTCAAGAATTTGCATGCTGTAGATCAGCACTTTCTAACTAGCTGCTTCATCACCCCTGAGAGAGGTAGTGAGGCATTTCAGGGTTTTTGCCTGAATTATGTTATACCATCATATTACTGTATTATGGAATAATAGTAATTAGGGATCTTTTAATTCCTGACTAGTGCTTCACTGAAAGTCTCCTAGCCACCTGCACCGTCTAACTCAGAGAACTAACTATAACATCCAAATAATCCAAGCGATCCCTTTAGCCATACAACAAATAACCAGTTGGCCAGATTCACATGATATGATCATTTCTGAAATAAAAATAAAAGGAATAAGGAATAAGAAACAATACTTGAACAACCTATTAGGAACCTTTATTATAAGTCCAGGTTGCAGCCTCAAAGAAGTAATTAACAATAACAACTCTAAAAATCTTCTATTTCCACTAATGTCACTAGGGTTAAAAAAAAAAAAAAAAAATTCCAAAGCAAACAAAGAAAAGTCGAAGTCTCCTACTGAGTCCCTTAAATAAGCATCCTGGATTCCAGAGGTGCTTAAGCAGCTGCACCTCTCTCTCATCTCATCTCATCTCCTCAACATGCATCCCAGCTGGAAACGTTAGCCTGGTTTCCTCTTAAGTAGGAGGTAATATAGGACATTTAATTAGCCAGGGGTTCCCCTTAGGGGGTTTGTTTAGTTAGCACAGTGATGACTGAAGAGATTACAGGGGACTAGCCCCAGCTCTCTAGAGGACAGGGCCTACTTTTCATGCTCAACCCACCTCACCTGAGGAACCGGCACCAAGAAGCAGAACAGGGATAAAGGGAAGCGACGCCCCAGGACTTGCCGGGCACTGAAGTCCTCTCTGCCTTACCAGTAGGGCTGAAAACAGCAGTGCCCTGAGAGACACGGCTAACTGTATTCCAATAAATGTCTGTGGGAATGGCATGGAAGGAATTTTAAAAAGAAAATAAATACCTCCTGTATAAGCTATGACATGATAGTTAATGCTAAATTTTATGAGAAAAATAATGCAAGCATTACTTATTCACTGGAACATGCAAACAAACATCCCAAACAAACAAAAACCCATCACAAACTAAACTAAAAAAAAAAACCCCACCAAGATAAATAGCAAACAAAAAGCCATTTTCTAGCCATCCTTGTCCAGCTGATTCAGATGTATGTCTATAACTACACTGGGTACACCTCATTCCCTGCAACACGTATTATTTACCTTCCACAGTAGTGAGATACCTTCACGTCCCATACAGTCAAATGCTAAGCAGACTCTGGTATATTTTAGCACTGTTAATCTTCTACAAAACCTTCACCTAGGTATACGTAATGCTCTGACGCTGTTCATCCATTTACTCTCATTAATCCTACAGACCTACGCTCCCAGAGGTACCAAGACAACCCCTCACCGACTACACAATGCGGCACTAAAAACACGCAGTATCTTCTAATATTACGCACGCTGCCGTGTCTTCTTTCGACTACCCAAACGCGGTCAGCCGGATGAACCATACATCTCCTGCCGGATTCCCCCACCCACAACCACAGCTCCACCCAGTCAATTAAAGCAGTCCTTTCCTCATTCACTCAAACAACAACATACGTGACGCAGACAGCTGGGATGCCTGTAGGAAATTACCACTGGCTTTTTTCTTAAACTCGGGGCAGAAGGTATCAAAATTCAGTGAGAGTGGGCATTAATTCTTCATTACCCAGTTTTCTGAAGTTTGGATTTTGTTAAATTCGATGTTCTGAAAGAACAGTTGTAACTACATTAATAGCTGATTTCTATTTCAGTAAGCCAAGAGACTTACTATTCTTTACTTTGTTCTAGTACAAAAAAACCTCCTGTTGATTGAAGTTTTGAGAAAAACATTTAGACTAAGTTCTACCCTCAGCTTTAGTTCTGTAGAATGGGATTAACACACTGTAGAATTATTCACTGCTGCTCTGATCAATGGATTGATTACTATATTCATTTGAGGATTAATATAAGGCCTCTGGGGTATCCCATCTCTCATACGATTATGTAAATATTTAATAGTCTGTGGTGGTTCCCTGCAAAGAGGACTACTTTCATTTTTTAAATAAGGAATCACAATTACTAGAATTTCTCCTCTCCCTGTTATCTTATGGGTGTACCTTTACCTCCTGGCTATGATCTTAGTACAGATTTCATTGCATCTTCTAGAATTATGTCATCGTATTAAGAGATCAGTGTCTCATTGTGGCTGCAGTCTGCTCCTTTCAAGTTCGTGGGAGTATTAAATGGGGATATTCAAGGGACGCAGTAGAGTAGCACTGGCCATACTGAGTATCTCATCTCCCCTTCGAGTGCTTATTTATTTAGACTACCTGCATATTTTTCACATTCTAAATTACATCAGGTTTCATTCTGCCATTTTAAACCAGTATCAGAAGGCCTTCTGCTTACATCCTGCAAGTTCAATCATCCAGCAAGTTCAATCATCCGGTTTTGCAAAGGATAGCAGATCAGAATTTTTATTAAATTCTTAACTTTATAGTTTTCTTTTTACTACAAGCATAAATCTCTCATTCTATGCATACAGGATTTTTAAGTACCCGTAAATACTGAAATGTTCATTTGATTAATTTTTTCCTCTGGAGGCAGATACCCACCTAAATACCCAATGATACATGACAGTGGTTTTCTGGTGCTTTTGATCTTCAGAGGATTTCCAGCAGCTTCACAATGTCGATCTGCGTCTGAGAATGTTAAAGAATAAAACTCAGTTTAAATATTCTACCATTACAAACATAATTAGGATGCACCAACCAGTTTCTGACTTACATTTTTACCACAAATTTCTTTTTTCTTTTTAGCACATATTCTTCTTGTTTTCATCAATGTTAACAATGACAGATATTTAAAGGCAGGCCATGTCCTCATTCATGCAAGTGATGTTATGATTTTTTTTTTTTAAAAAAGTTAATGTAAGTTCTAACACAAATCCGATTGCATTTTTTGCCTACAAAGTCTTTTTGGAGACAGTCAGCTAGGCAAATGAAACACAAATGAAAACATCGGTACTAAAATAAAAGCAGCTCTGGCTATTAAAAAGAATTTACATGGAATTCTTCATTGTTTTCTACAAGCTTGTCTGGCCCTAAACGGGGTAATACAGAGGTAAGAAGGTTTTAAAGTTGGGACTACTGATTTTGGTCATGTATTACTCGGATGGTATGGTGATTCATACCATTCTTAATAAATAAAACAGAACACGGGGGCCATCATGGCAAGATGAAGCTTAAAACCCAACCCCCCCAAAAACCCTTTACTGTAAACTTTTGAACAAAGTGGTCAATTGTAACCAAGTATGACAGAGCTCAAAGGTCTCAAAGATTGGAACTTCCTGCAAAGTAAATGAAAATAAGCAGTTCAGTAACTACCTTAATTTGATGCTAAAACTATGAACTCACAACTTAAAAGGCTCTGCGAATACAGAAGCAGAGAATCTCTCTACGTGCCGCAAACGTAGAAGTGTTACTATGAAGAGTTTCACGCTTAGACAGCGGAGTCCATCAACCTAAGGCAAAAATTCACAAGATGCTAGGTTTCAGTAAATAGTTTCAAGACGACTGGAACTATGCTATCTTTTTTTTAAACTACTCAGAATAATTGGGTCATCTGTCTTCCAAAAGCACATAAGTAATCCCCATATAGGGCTTCCAGTATCCCTAGAACACAGGTATTCTGTTTTGTACAAAATTGCGTTCATACGTTGATTGTGTAGATCTAGAATTCCCTCACATGGCATTACTTCCCACATATGCACACATATGTGTACACCTTTCTTTGTATAGGTTTCACATGTAGATCTGCATTTTCTAACAAGCTTTACAAGAACTATATATATAAATAGTTTATAATAACTGTAATTCCACTTTGTCTCCACCTTCTGTTTTACCAAAATATTCGCATTTGTTTCATTCCAGCACAAGATATGGAGTACATAGGCACACACAGAGGATAAGACACTACATAGAACAATTTACATTTGAGAAAAAACCAAAATGTACAGTCTCTTTATGTATTCTATCTAGCTATGTGCAAAAAACTTGTAAGTCATGAAACCACAGCAATGACTGAAGTAAGTATTTCAGTATGTTCACAGATGTTCTCAATACAGCAGACAAGGCACAACTTAGTTCAATATATTAAGGAAACTACTTGAAATTCTTACGTGCTAAGCGTAAATGCATCTGGGAAGCCCAAAGGTTCCAGAGCCCTAATGCCGAGTACACAAAGTACTTTATTATTTTACCTTAATAACAAAATATACTGTTCTCAGTGAAAAAAATGCACTGAACCTAGTGCCTGGAATGTTTTTAATATTCCACAACACTTGAAATATTTTAAGTGACAGAATAGAACGATGCGTCTCCACTGTCTCCCTTGGTAAAATAAGCACAGACTATACAGTGAGTATTTTATAGTTACTTTGGGAACAGCAAAGCATCGCCTAAGAAGTAATTAGCAAGAAAATTTTCCGTCTACGTGTCTTCACTGTAAAAAAAGGCATTGAATCATGGTGAGATATTAATATGTGGTCTGAGAATACAGACTGCAAAGAGAGCACAATTTCCATGCTTGAGGCAAAGCATGTTCACCAAAGATACCGGGTGGGTATTCCAAAGCACACCAATCTATTAAAGCAGTTAAGTGTGTTTAACAGCAGCAAACTTTAATCCACAATATGGTACTCCCATGAAAAATATAATAAAGTTTATGATCTTTATGCACTACATACAGAAAAACACAAAGTTAGATTGTGCATCATTCTCAAGTGTAAAACCATAGAATAAATTTAGGTAGGAAGTTGTCAAAACCAAAATTTTAAAAAAGTCCTAAAATCAAATATGGGCTTCCACACGAACACTAAAAAATCGTAGTAAGATCAGTGAAATAGTGGAAGCTATGAGAAATAAAAATGTATTTAAAAAAAAAAAATTGGAGTATTACACTTGATAGCATATTTTTTCAAAGCTATCAAAAGCAGAAAGTGTGCTAGTGCCTGTAGCAACAGGAGACGATCAAGGTGTGAGGAAAATATAGAAGAAAGATAAGGTCATGGCAGAAAAGATGAATGAAGTCTTTGCAGCCATGTTCACTGCAGAGGAACTTAAACAAGCTCACTTCCAAAACCCTTTCATGAGGAAAGTGTGAGAACTGTGTCACATCAAAGTGTCCATAGGAAATATTTCAAAACAAACTGGTTAATGAATAAAAACAAGTTACCAGGACCAGGTGGAATTCATCCAAACAGAAACTGCTGAGCACGTACACTGCTGGTGTTTAACTAATGCTCAGACTGGTCTTGGTTCAAGGGAATAAAAACACGGCAAACGTGATAACACTCTTCAGTAAGTAGGTCTGCTGACTGGCAAAAGGGTTGAACTATTAATAGAGGCATACAGTTAAATACGGAAACATCAAGGGAGCCAACAAAGACCTTGTAAAGGGAAAACACATTTAATGTTTTCGCATTACTCAGCGGTGTGTCCTTGCAAGAAGAGGGACGACTGCATACCGGGCCTTACTAGCCCGAGGCCAGCCCGCGGGGCGAGGGAGGTAGCCCTTCCCCTTGGACCTTGTGAAACCGCGTCCAGAGGCTGCATCGAGTTCTGGGATCCCCACCATAAATGAGATACGGACATACCGGGGGAAGCACAGCTATTGAAGAGTCTGGTTTGGGGTTGGAGTATAGGGTGTACACGGAGAGTCTGAGGGAAGTGGGTTTGGTCAGCCTTGAGATGAGAAGGCCAAGGGGAGACCTGATTGCCACCTGTAACTACCCAGTGGCAGAGCACAGAGAAGACCAAGCCAGACCCTTCTCGGAGGTACATAAGGAGAGCACAACATACTATTGCTGTCTGTGGCAACAGACACAAGCTGGGAGACGGGAAATTCTCGTTAGATGCAAGGAAAAGATTATCTACTGTGAGCTTGATCAAACACTGGAACAGGTGCCCAGAGAAGCCATGGAGCCTCCATCCTTGGAGACAGACAAATCTCATCTGGACAAAAGGCCCTGAGCACTTGAGCTTTGTGCAGGGGTGGGATTAGAGACCTCCGGGGGTCCCTTCCTGCCCTCACGCCCTGTAAGCAAGTGACTGCAAGTGTCAGCTCTGCCAGGATCCTCTGAAGGAATCGTGACATGTACCCATGCAGCTGATCTGGCATCCAACTTGGCACGTCAATTAGCTTTTAACAAACTGTGTCACCAAAGACCGTTGCTGCCCAGCTGTTACAGCATAAAAGAGAAGTTTTTTTCAGGTATTAGCACCTGGTTAAAATTAATTGGCTATGTAACCCTCAAAGGATCTGTGCTGTTCAACATATAAAAGATCAGGAAGAGGTGATTAGAGAGTTAAAGTTTCCTGATAAGAAATTACTGAGCATAATCAAAGCTAAAACTGATTGCAAAGGTATCAGCAGCATCAAGCAATAAATGTAAATTAATTCTTAAGGGGTAAAATGACTGTAATATACAGATGTAACGATGGGTTCTACACCACTACCGTGCAGAAGAGAATTCATGGAGTCAGTGTCGACAGCTTTCTAAAAATATCTAAACAATACTGAAGAGTGGTCAAATTAAAATCAGAGTATTAGAAATTATGATGATAGGAAAACAGAAAACATGTGACACTCTCTAAAATGATGGGAAACCTGTACCTTGAAGTGCATGTAATTTGAGGCACCATAACCCTAAAAAGGATACAGTACAATTAGAAAAACTCCAGGGAACAACATTACGAACCACAGTGTGAAATGGATTCTTTATGAGGTTTTAAACAGACCAAGTTCTTAACCTAGAAAAGTCACGACTGTTATGGGTATTACAGAGGTCAACGAAATCAGGAATGCTATGGAGAAGATGATAGCAAATGAGGCTGCTTCTTTTAGACTTGAAAGGGTTTTTTAATTATTTCCTTGTTTTAGATTTGTAGGTCTCAAGCTTAGAGAGACTCCCACTGGGGAGTTATTTCTCTTTGACATTCCATCATATTTCAGATTATCAAAATTCAGATTATCTGATGAACGTACTGTGCTCTATGTATTCCTTGAATTGTATTTTTCTTAGAAACTTCGGGGGAAAAAATAGTGTGTTCTTCTAATTATTTTACTGGCTACTAAAATCTGGCACAAATTGTATTCAAAGGTAACAGTAGAGAAAATATTTTCACCCTAGATGCAGCCAAAAGATCTTCCATAGCTATCAAAATCAAGGATGTGAAACATTGTTTGTGAACCAATACCCATAAATGTTACTCAGATGAATGGGTAGTTTTATGCCAGTAAAACATAGGCTGCATGCTTACAATGACAAACCAGTAACATTTTGCACATTCTACTTAATTTTCACTTGTCTTTGTTCTATCAAACCAGATTGTAACAAGCAAGTACTGTGTACCAAACTTGTTATTAAATCTGCAGATTTAAAGGTATGTTAAGTTTTGATCATGAACAGTATATCCATTTCCAGATAACTCTCTATATATCATACACATAATATATTACCATCCACTGAAAACATTTTGACAATCATGTCTGCACAGACAGAACGTAGTTACCCAAATTTAAATTACTATAGTTAATACATAGGGTTATATTGATAAAATTATATCCGAGCAGGGGAAAAAAAAAATCCTCAAAAATCTTCCTGTGCTGAAGTAGTAAGGTTCACAGATGCATGTATCAACATGCTTGTAAGCTGGAAACAGATCCAATCTTGTCAGTGACTGTCTGGAAAAGAATGCCCACTTTGGTTTCCTCTAATTGAGAGACCTTCCATAGAGAGGACAGTTTTGCTTAACTTCTAAAATATGTGCAATATATTCAAACCAAAAAGAAGGTATGTTGCCTTTCCTCTTACTGAAACAGTTCACCAATTCTAATTATTCCTGAAAATCTATCAGACAAGTTTATTGTCAACAACTTACAGTGAGCCTATTATCTTCAGGCAGAACAAAGTTTGAGATTTCCAGGATGGGTTGTGCTCCTAGCAGGAGATGCCATGCCTTCTCAACCTCCTGGTGACCATCCCTAGATTGAACTGGAATGTAAATGCATCGTCTCCACTACCTCCTGCTGGCATCTGAGCAGAGGTCATGCTGTATGGTTCGATAATGAGAAAAATCTAATTCTCTGCACTAACTGAAGGAACAAAGAACATAGAACAGGACCTTGTTTTCTGCCAGTGGATGTAATGGGCTGAGGGAGATGTGGGTGGAATTACAATAATAAAAAACGCTCTGTCTGAAATCTGGTTTCACCTAAAAGATGGTTGGGCCTGAGGTAGGCATTCTTGGAGGCTTCCATGCTCCTCCGAGACAGAAGAATTATCTGCAGATGAGTTCAGGTGGAATGCAAAAATCAATTTATTTTATGAGCAAGCTCCGACTGGCTTGTTCAGACTTTCCTTCTCAGAACTGGGAATTCGCTTCATTTACAACCTGGCACTTCAACAAACTGCATAAGACTAAGAAGACATAAAACCTGGTACGCTGCTGGGTAAGTGCCCTACCATCCTTCTGTCTTTAGATTTTATGGTTTCTGAGTGTTGGTATGGTGCCTACTGCAATATAGTTGTGAAATGCAGTTACGTTTTCAAGCACTGGTTTGGCACACACACAGAGTGAGATGAGTCTGACAAAGCATCTAAGCAGTCATTAGATTCAAGTTTCAGCACACCAACATGGAAAACAAATTCCAAATCAGTTCTTGGACATCCTAACCATCTCATGCCATATCGCATCATGGGTGACCTGCCAGGTTATTATCTAAGCACAGTTGTAACTTTTGTAACACCAACACAGACATTCATTCAATATTGTAGTTACTCAGTGGTATTCAGCATATGAAATCATTACTGTTAATTAAACATCTCATTTAAAAATTAAAAAAATTAAAAATTACTTGCATCAAGCTATCCTTAGAAAATTATTCAAGGCATTCTCAGGAAGAGAGAGCCCATTTAGTTATAACGTTAAAATCTACAGAGTGCAGTGAACACAGGTCACCAGATATAAGTACAGGAACAAAACTAGAAAACAATTTTTTTATTTACGTACTTACTAGGCTTTACTAGAGTAAGAATGTGACAGTGACAATGCAGGTAAGAGCATTGTACAATTCCAGAGAGAGAGATATTGCCAGAAACAGAGTATGTGTGTGTGTGTGTACACACAGGGAAACATGATTTTAATTAATTAAATGAGGTATAATCTGGTATGTGTGTGTACACACAGGGAAATATGAGTTTAATTAATTAAATGAGGTATAATCTGGTTTCCACTATTATAAAATAATTTGAATGTTGTGTTCAAAAAGCATTGACAACCGTGACTTTGTTTTTTCAATCTATGTTAGGTCTAATCAGGAAGCATTAGCATTCAAAAAGACAAAATTGCAAGGTCCAAATTTTGCTTTAAGCAAAAAGAATAATGAAAGACAGAGACTACAAGGGGGGGAAAAAAAAAAAAAATCTTTCTGCTCTTGATGTTAATCTGATGTGGCACTTTTTCATTCAAAGGAACAAAGAGGAAGCACTCACAGCACTGCCAGTCTGATACAAGAATGACTACT